AAGTGGGCAAGGGTGACAACACTCACCCCCCAAAAATGTTGGCTGACAACACACAACAACAGGAGTTAGGAGCTGAGTGCATTTCTGTACTTGCAGGACCTTTAAAGGAAAGGCCACTTTCCCAGGTGAATTTAGGAAAATGAAATGACCCCCTCTTCCCCCCCCTTGCTATACTTACCTATGGGCAATCGCTCCCTCCCCTCCACCGGTGTGGGTGGACTATACGTACCCTGTACTGCCATGTAGCACAGCCCTGCACTCTCTATTTTTAATTTCGCTCTCAAAAGGCGAGCACTCATTGGTCAGCACAGTTACTTGACCCTGCTGACCAATGAGATGGACTTCTGACCAATAAGTGCTCACCACTTGTGAGCAAAATTCAAAATACAAAGCACAGCGCTGTGCTTACTCAGCAGTACGGGGTACGGATAGTATACTGGCACCGACAGAGGGGAAGGAGCGTTCGCCCAAAGGTAAGCATAGCGAGGGTGGAGAGGGGGCTAGATGGGAGGGGGTAATTCCATTTTCCCAAATTCACCTGGGAAAGTAGATTTACCCTCTAAAGAGATAAAACATGGGAGAAATGTCCATCTAGTGCAGACACGTAATGCATATATATTTTTTCTATTTTACCCAAACGCTTTAAGGGTTTGTTCACTCATAACCAAGATTTTGGCTGTGAGGGGCATTTGATTGATCAGACCACTAGCCGGCTTCTTAGAATTACATGTTCCCCCTGTGCTTGCATGGGTTTCCTTTGATTTCCTCCTACACTCCAAAGACATGCTGGGGGGACAACTGGCTCCTGTCTAAATTATTATACACTAGTATGTGTGTAGGCTCGTGTGATAAGGACCTTAGATTGTAAGCTCCTTGAGGGCAGGCTAGGATGTGAACAAACAGTATGGAAAGCACTGCTTAGATGGATGGCACTATAGAAATGTCTGCAATAAATAAATAATAAGGTGCATAGGGGTGTATTACTAATGTCAGTAGTGCAAACAGTATTTTTTTTCTCTTGGTGTGTCAATCCTACGTGCATTAAGACTGTGAGTATAACCATCCTGCGGATGAAGAAGCATGCTGTGGACTGACAAGCTCTTGGTACAGAGATAGCCTCAGGCTAATTCAGCAGCTGGTCAGTCAGCTTCTCCCCCCCCCCCTTTCAGAACGCATAGCACAGCTCAGCCGCCACTCACATGAGCCTGCTGCTCACAGTACAAACTGTTGGCTCAGATATCTTCCTCCAAAAGGCTAAAAATACGCGATCAGACATGAGGTCATTGGCGATGGTGAGCATTCAACTTGAACTCATCACCTGCCTGGACCAGGTTTATTTGGTGAGAAGTATACAAATAAAATGGACTGAGCCAATATCCAACCGGAATGTCAATTTCAATGGAAGTCACATGACTAAAAGGGATTTTTTTTTTCTCTACAAATTGCCATAAAAAAAAGCTGCACGGTTGCAATCGCCCATCTGTTGGAGATCTAAATCCCCATTTTTTCCACAGCGGATCTTCAGGAAAACAAATAAATACATAGATGAAATACATATAAGGCAGATGCTTTAGCTGCCAAAGGAATTGTATTTTTGTCCATCCAGTCCCAAGATTTAGGCAGCTCAGACCACTCAACCAGGTTGGTGACCTGACTTTTCTCTGCTGCAGTTAAGCAATTAAGCTTGGCCACTTTCCCACCCCTAGCTTCTGACAATGCAGTGAAGGAGCATTAGCAGTTCACCCCTCTGCTTATGATTTCTTGTCTGGCCAGAGAGTCCCAGGTTGCTAAGAGCTGGGTGGGGGAGATGTGTAGGGCTGTACACAGCTCCCCTCCCAGCTCTTAGCAACCTGGAACACTCTGACCAGCATCCCACTCAGTCCCTGGCAACCAGTTATGCCACTGGCTTCCGGGAGTTGAGCAGGACGTCCCACCCAGCTCTTAGCAACCAGTGATGTCACGGTTGCCAGGAGCTGAGCAGGACATCGCAACCAGTGATGTCTCGGTTGCCAGGAGCTGAGCAGGACACTCTGGCCAGTATCCCGCCCAGCTCCTGGCAACCAGTGACGTCAGTGAGCCAGGCGAGACTAACACCAGAACTGGGCTCTGCACCACCTGGAGCCCCATCAATTCAAGGGAATTTGTCACAGCGAGAAATAAGATAAGTATTACAGCCCCTACCCCCAAACATAATGAGCATTTAACCCTTGCAGTGCAGGAAGGTCCACTACAAAGATATTTATTACTGGTGCATGGTGTTGGGTTTTGAAGAAACATTCCAAATTGTTGAAGAGCAAAATCCAAAAAGAAAGAAGGTGACAATTGGACCATAAAAATTCAAAAAGTAAAACGATTCAAAACTGCAACGAAACATACAAATCTGAACGTGTTTCCATGGCACAGGCAACACAAACATTTCATATCTTGCATGCTGGGGAAACATATTCGGAAACGAAGGTCTTCCTAAGGGCTGATGTGAAACACTGCCTATTACGTTTAAATGCAAAACTCAGCAAAAGGCAATCAACCTCAACCTTCTTTGTCTGTAATGCAATTGCATGTAAATGGGAGCTGTTGTGTCCAAAGCAATGCAAAGCAAATGCAGCCTCAGCACGATCACCCACACTGTACCAATAAAGTAAACGGGAATCTTTTGACCTGCATTCAATAGACACTTCAAAAGCAAGTCAACCCCTAAAAGGGACAAGCTAAATTCTTAAAACTATATAGTGTTATTTGCCCTAGTGATCATTATAGCTTAGTGGACTAAGCCTAATGCCTTCATCACATGGACAAAATAGGAGGCGTATATTGGAATAGTAAATAAAGAGGGGAAAAAAATAGTGCCTACTGTCCCTTCTCTCCTTATATACAGCATGTAATTTTCTCTAAGATGACATTATTTAGGGTTGAGTAATCTGCCAGCCAAAAAAAGAACTTACCGATTGTTGTCGTTAGGAAAGACACAACTTCAGACTCTTTCCCATCGTTGTAGAAAGCCAGATGCCAGATTCCCGAGTCAAGGTACTGGATGAAGCCCGTCTCATGACTCGTCACAGGAGCAACCCCTCTGTGCAGCCTCTGAGGACCCTCCAAACTGCGGGACTCTTGTGCTAGGAGACGTCTCCCATCCAACAGCTCAACAAAATCAAACTAAAAAAAAAAATGGAAAATCTGATATGTACTTCCAAATAACTAGGTGTGCTGGTCAGATGTGCATGAAACCGGCCTACCCAACAGAGACTACAGACGTTGGTGAGACTGCATCCAAATCGCTCGCTAGGACCAGGGACATCACTTAGAGTGCAGCCTATCCATTCACTAGAGACCAGTGACATCATTGAGAATGCAGCCTATCCATTCACTAGAGACCAGTGACATCACTGAGAATTCAAGCCTATCCATTCACTAGAGACTGGTGACATCACTGAGAATGCAGCCTTTCCATTCACTAGAGACCAGTGACATCACTAAGAACACAGCCTATCCCCTCCCTAAAGACCGGTAACATCACTGAGAATGCAGCCTATCCATTCACTAGAGACCAGTGACATCACTGAGAATGCGGCCTTTCCATTCCCTAGAGACCAGTGACATCACTAAGAACACAGCCTATCTCCTCCCTAAAGACCGGTGACATCACTGAGAATGCAGCCTATCTATTCACTAGAGACCGGTGACATCACTGAGAATGCAGCCTATCCATTCACTAGAAACCAGTGCCATCACTGAGAATGCAGCCTATCCATTTACTAGAGACCAGTGATATCATCAAAGATGTAGTCAATTAACTCACCAAGATCTACAGACACAGATGAGGTTCTAGTACCTTAGAGGCATGACTATAGTTCCTAGTGAAATGGACCATTTAGATTTACTTGCAAAATAGCTTCCTCTGCCATATTTAATTACTGCTTCCATGAGATCGGGTTACCTGTGTGTGTGACGGTGGTAGGCCTCTTCTGCCATAGATGCCAACAAGAGCTGCTTTTCCAAGGGACACATTGAACTTCAGGTGAACAGGGTGATCTATGAACACCTGCGACCTCCAGAATATTCCAGGTGGGATCTTCTGAGTAGCCCGCCTACCGACATCCAGCTCGCCAGAGTCAATAAAACTATCGTCGGGAAAGAGGTTTAAGGGCTTTCTTGTGGGTTTTCCTGTGTTGTAGAACAAAACAGACGTTAAAGGAGAATTACCACATGTCCTCAGTGACTGTTTATTTTCGGCTATTACAACATTTGCTAGAAAAGCAATATTTAATGCGACTTCTCTTTTTACATATTTGTAATTACCATGTTTTCTGGACAATACAGGGATCTGATGTAAGGAATTGAAATTCAATTTTGTAACCCATAATTTAGAACCAATATTTATCCCCCGACACAGGTCACCTTGTTCCAAACATTCCAACAAAATACACTGAGCCTGGCCCCCCCAAAAAACAACACACATTCTTAATATTTCGTTTGACCATCTCTAGCTTTGATTACGGTACACATTCGCCGTGACATCGTTTCAATAAGCTTATGAAATGTCACAACATTTATTTCCAACCAGAGTTGCATTCATTTTTCCCCAAGATCTTGTAGTGATGATGGGAGAGTCAGACCTCTTCGTAAAGTCTTCTCCAGCACATCCCAAAGATTCACAATGGGGTTAAGGTCTGGACTCTGTGGTGGCCAATCAATGATGTCTCATGCCCACTCTTTCACAATCTGAGCCCGAGGAATCCTGGCATTGTCATCTTGGAATATTTCCAATGTGCCATAAGGAAAGAAAAAATCAATTGATGGAAAAACCTGGTCATTCAGTATATTCAGGTGGGCAGCTGGCCTCAATTTTTGGGGACAACGTTGCTGAATCTTGACCATGTGAAGGTGAAACCCTTAAAATATATCGAAGGACAATTTTTTTTTTATTGCCGTCTCGCTGGGTAGATTGCCCTTCTCTTTTTGTTCTGGTGAACACGTTCAGCGAAACAGGAAGTGAGGGAAAAGTCAACATTTTGAGTTGTCACATCAATAGACAGGAAGTCTTCCAAGGTGTAACAACTGTCTAAAGCTGGCCATACACCTACACATTATCTGCAGATTTTCTATGGTCAGATGGAAAAAGTGCAACACATTCCTCCATCTATGCTAAACTGTGTGGATGGAGGAATCTCCCACTGGGCCAAGCTTCAGTATCTTGCTAGTCGGCCTCGCAAACAATCTGATTGGATGCAGGTACTGTTCAGGCATTTTGAGAGCCAGCGGGGGCCGACTAGCAAGATACTGAAGCTTGGCCCAGTGGGAGATTCCTCCATCCACACAGTTTAGCATAGATGGAGGAATCTGTTGCACTTTTTCCATCTGACTATGGAAGATCCACAGAAAATCTATAGGTGTATAACCAGCTTAAGAGAGGATTTCCCTCACTCTGGAGAGATTTTCTCTCATTTGCGGTTAAGTCTGCAGAAAGTGAGAACAAATTCCCCCAGATGGGATACAGGTGGCCAAAAAAAAAACCTAACAGGGGTTTTCACCATTCCCTACTTTATCCAAAACAAAGAAAAACATTTTGGCTTGAGATAACTTTAAAGGTTCCATATGCTAGATTTCCCTTTTTAAAATTATATTGTTCGTAATGTGATCCATTTTGACACAAATAGCAATCTGCAGAGTTCCTGAATAACATATGTTGATAATAAATGTAATAATTAGTTTGACATTTAAATTTTCATATTAAAAAAACAGCTTTCATTGAAGAAAAAGAAAGGCAGCACACATCCACGGTTTGATACGGTCAGGGCAAATTCTCAGAACCAGACACAATGATAGATGGAAAGGTAATGCAGTTAGACCTTAATTTGCTTAAAGAAAAGACAGAGTGGATGGGAGCGCAGACCCCACCGCAATGAGGTAACAGGGCAGAGACGTGGGGGGGGGGGTTAAAAGATTAAGGTCAGAGGAAAATTAAATCGCAGTGCTACATATACAGCACTGCAAGCTTGTCTTCATTACAAATTTATAATGCTTCTAACAACCATCTACAATTTTGGCTTATTAAATGGTATACTTGGCACTGTGTCCCCAATTTTAACCTACATCAAACAAACCCTTCAAAATATGGGACTTTAAGGGTACCGGTATGGAACTTTAAGGGTACCATTATTAGAAAGTACATTGACAAAGAATTATCTAAACAATATATTTAGTAACTTAGGACTGCAAGTAAATAATATGATTGGAGTGATTTATAGTAATGACACCTGGTCCCCAGATATGCACTGCTTGAAAACATTAGACTGTAGACCAATGTTCAAAAGTACAGTGAGGTAGATAATTTTGTGTTTGCACAAAGGGGACTCCCTGGCCTCTTTTCTCTTCTAGAGGTAGGTGGCGCTGCATCCATTTGCCAGTGTATTAAATACCCATTGGCTAAATGTGCTATACCCACACCATTGTATCAGCAGTGGACTATCATTGACTGACTGTCAGCTAAAAGAAGAACTCTGGGCAATTAAAATCTTAACCCTTGCAGTGAGGCCAGCCCCACACTGCAAGGGTTAAGTGCTCGTTTTGTCTAGGGAGTAAAATAACAGTTTTATCTTCACCTGACCCGCTATCTTGGCTGGCTCCTACACTGCTCTATGCAGTCTGTCTACTCTTCCACTCCAGTGATGGTATATCCCTGAGTCCTCATGTCCTGTAAACTGTTAGAATGTTATGACTCACGGGGATCTTAGACCGTGGAGCGCAGGGGGAGCGAGGCTGAAGGCACCGTTCTAAGAGCAAGCCAGGATCGCAGTTCCAACGTGTATAACTTGGTTATTTTAGTTTAGGCAAAATTAACATTGTGTAAAGTCTTCTCCAGCACATCCCAAAGATTCTCAATGGGGTTAAGGTCTGGACTCTGTGGTGGCCAATCCATGTGTGACAATGATGTCTCATGCTCCCTGAACCACTCTTTCACAATTTGAGCGCGATGAGTGGTGCTACCCCTACTCATCAGTGGGGCTGCTCATTAGTGGAGCTACCCCTTTGCAGTGCGGGGGAAGCCCCACTGTAAGGATTAAGATTTGAGTTGCCTGGAGTTTTGCTTTAAAGGAGAACTATGAGGGGGGGTGCTTTTCACTCAGCCTCATAACCTGAGCCGACCTGTGACAATGAAACTGTCACAGGTCGGCTCAGTAGATCGGGAATTGAGCGAACACATACCGTCGCTTGCTCACTTCTCGATCTATCCCTGCAGAGAGCCGTGACTGTCACTCATGGCTCTCTGCAGGGATTAGCTCGCGGTATACTGAGCTTTGGGTCAGGGTAGCCCGAAGTCCAGCCAGGTTGCCATCACACTGTCAGTAGAAAATAAAATCAAAGCCAAACTCTCGACCATATATCTAATTTTATTGTTTCACAGAGTCCAATCAGAAAGTTCTGGTTTTTCTGCAGCCCCTGTTATCAATGAACAGGAATCCTCTATACTGAGTGTTCCTGTTCATTTATAACATGAGGACATAGTGTGTTTACTATAACCACAATCATGAATGATCAGGAGGTGATGTAGATCACTCACATTCAATTATGTACAAACACTCAGCGATCACTGATCACCGAATGCTGGTACCCGCTCTCCATCCTGACAGCTGTCACAGAAAGCTGAGTGAGTGGTACGGGGAGGAGAGCTCAGCCTCCTGTGACAGCGCGGCCTGTCTCCACCCACACACCGCTCTGACGGCCTGTGACAGAAGGCTCACATCGTTCTCCTCCCACGGCGCTCGGCAGCCTGTGACACTTTCTCTCCTCCCCGCTCGGACACAGAGCAGCGCCCAGCGGGGAGGAAAGAAACCAGAGCATTTAGCCAAAAGTGCTATTCTGGCCTATATATCGGTGCATCCCTAATAGAATAAATTATATTAAA